TCCAAGCCTTAAATTCTATGATTTTTTGACTGCAGCAAGCCAAAGCTCTTTGATCAGTCAGAATCTCTCTGAACAACCCCCATCCCTGTCAAACCTCCTGCACCAGGAATGTTCCCTGTCCCTGGGACGCTCCTGTGCCACACCTGGATCCTCAGTCCCAGGGGTTTACATTTTCCTCTTGAGAACATAAACACAAAAAGCTCTTCCCTTTGAACCTCACCTGTCCAGTGTCATTTACTGTACCTAAACAGCTGCCAAAAAACTAATCCTCTGCTCTCCCTGCCCTGAGTCACTGATACAGGATATCAGCTCCTTTCCACATAAATGCTTTGCTTACCCCTTTGATCTTCCACTCCTTTCTGCCCCCAAGAGCACCCATGCTCCTGGGTGCAGGGAAATCACAAATTAACACATTTCAGTTGACAAATCCAATTATATAATTAAGCCAGGACAAAGGAAAAATGAATTTCCCTTTACTAAAATAACTTCAGAAGAGAAACACACCAGTTTGGGAGGGTTCCCATGCCCAAACCTGCCCCCAGAAGAGCCACGTTTGGGGTTTAGATTTGTATTATAAAAAGCACAAAATACAGAAATGAGATTCCTTGTTTTGAGGTAACAGCAAAATGTTTAGCAGAAACAATGGTCAGTTCTCAAAGTCCAAGCTGTTGTTCTAGGCTATGTGTTATATGCTATATGCATGTCACACCGAGGGATTTCAGTGACAAAAGGGTTAGGGCAGAAAACCCAGTTCCAAATCCCTTTGGGTGTAATCAAATCTATTTATGTTTCCATGTCCATGATCTCCCTGCAGCTCACTGAACGTCCATGTGCCCTTGCACACCTGATGATCACCTGCCTTGCTCTTATCAAGCATCCAGGAGTGCTAATCCGGCAGAGGCTCCAGCCAGAAAAGCATTATGAGAAGAAAGACATTCCTGGGAATCAGGAAATCAAAGGGACCACTCTGCTGACCTAAGCAAACTCCTGCACTAACAGCCCCAACCCAGGAAACCCTGAATATGCAACGACAAAACAATTACTTCGGAGGGATTTAAATGCCAACTCTTTGTGCTCCGTTGCACATGACAAAACACGATGATCGTGATGCCTCAGCTCCACCCTACCCATTTCCCCTCATACAAATACCTGGAGGGCAGCAGATTTCCACTCCCCTTGGCAATTTCTGCTGGCACATGCCACTGTGGTTGGTCAGGACACATTAAACTGACTCCCTTTGTTCACACTGGAGGGAGAGAGGGAAGGAAGGCTCTCCCTGGGAGGTGGGGACTCCTCCTGGAACACCCACTGCCATCCCTCTATAAGGCTGACCCTGCTCTCTGTCGTGTCCACCCTCCAGCACCATGGCCCTGTCCGTGCGCACCAGCGGAGGCTCCCGGCCCTTCTCCTCTCGCAGCGGATTTGGGGGGGGATCGATGAGGATGTCCAGTTCTAGTGGCGCAGGAGGCTTTGGTGGCAGTGGCCTTGGGTTTGGCGGTGGCTCTGGGGGAGGTTTTGGTGCTGTTTCTCTACTGGGTTCAGGCTCTGCCTTCAGTGGGGGCTTTGGGAGCAGCTCGGGCACAGGATTTGGGAGCGGCTTGAGCAGTGGCTTTGGTGGAGGGTTTGGAGGTGGTTTGGGTGGTGGCTATGGAAGCAGCTTGGGCAGTGGGTTTGGGGGAGGTTTGGGAAGTGGCTTTGGCAGCAGTTCAGGCGCTGGTTTTGGAAGTGGCTTTGGAGGTGGCTCGGGGTCTGGGTTTGGAGGTGGCTTTGGCCCTGCAGGTGCTGGGGATGGAGGTCTTCTTTCTGGCTCAAAAAAGGAAACCATGCAGAACCTCAACGACCGTCTGGCTGCGTATCTGGACAAAGTGAGGTCCCTGGAGGATGCCAACACTGAGCTGGAGCGCAAAATCCGTGAGTGGTACGAGAAAAGTGGCCCTGGCACTGGCAGCCCTGGATCTGGGAACGACTACAGCAAGTTCTATCCTCTTATCGAAGATCTTCGGAACAAGGTAGCAAAGCAATGTGCTCAATGTAGCTTTATGTTTGTAATTCACCTAATAGCATTTTAGATTAAAATAACAAGTTTCTTTCAGAAGCCAAGAGTAAATTTGTCCTTCAGAACGGACACTTGGGGTGAGCTCTGTCACCTTGCACTGCTGACATGTGCTGAGCTTCTCCCTCATGCTAACAGCAGTTCTGTCGCTGTGTCACACAGTGTGACTTGGCTGAGCTGAAGGAAGGAGAAGGCAATGATGGAACCAAGTCCTACAAACTCTTGCAGATCCACTGCAGAGCTGTGAAGCCTTTGGGTTGTAAAATCCTTCTCTGAGCACTGTTTGTATTGCAGATCATTAACGCAACCATCGACAATGCCAGGATCATCCTGCAGGTCGACAATGCCAGATTGGCTGCTGACGACTTCAGACTGAAGTGAGCAAATCTCAGTGCTACAAAAACCCTTACTAACATTTGAAGGAAGAAACTCTTTTGCATTTAAAAATCTCTTTCCTTGTAGAACACTTGCAACATAATTATTGAACAATAATTATAAGTGTTAAGATTCCTATTAAAAGCCACAGAAGACACAGTAACAGTTTGCATTTGCCCTCATGAGCCGTGTAAGAAACAAGATTTAATTCCTTTGACACAGATATGAGAACGAAGTGGCTCTTCTGTGTAAGAAACAAGTTTTAATTCCCTTGGCACAGATATGAGAACGAAGTGGCTCTTCGGCAGAGCGTGGAGGCTGACATCAACGGCCTGCGCAGAGTCCTGGACGAGCTGACCCTGACCAGAGCTGACCTGGAGCTGCAGATTGAAAGCCTGAATGAAGAACTGGCTTATCTCAAGAAGAATCATGAAGAGGTACCTTTTTTTCCCTTTTGTGAGTCCATAACAAGGCAGGTGGAATTGTGAAACATCAAATGATTCCCTCGGTTAAGCCAGTGGGAGTTCTTTGGTTCATTATCTGCTTTGTTTGCTGGGTTTTTTTGGAGTTTCCTAAGTGAAAGAGTGAAGGGAATATGCTAGTAATTCTTGTTGAAACAGAATTTGTATCGTGCATGTTTCTGTACTTATATTATTGGTAGAACTATTTTGCCTTTCATTAACAGAACCTGTTCTGTATTTCCAATCTCTCCAGGAGCTCCAGGGCATCCAAAGCAGTGAGTTTGGCCAGGTCAGTGTGGAAATGGATGCTGCCCCAGGGACTGACCTGACCAAGGTTCTGAATGACATGAGAGGACAGTACGAGGTCATTGCCGAGCAGAACCGCAAAGAGGCCGAAGCATGGTTCAACGAGAAGGTAACACCCAGGGACAGCAAAAGCAGGGGTAAATGAGCTCAGGACTTGGGACAGTAAACTGACACCCTATTCCTCCTTGTCCTTTCAGAGTGGGGAGCTGAAAAGGGAAATCTCCACCAACACGGAGCAGCTCCAGTCAGGAAAGAGCGAGATCACGGATTTAAAACGGACTCTGCAGAGTCTGGAGATAGAGCTGCAGTCCCAGCTCGCCATGGTATGTCCTGGGAGCTGCTGACTGCTCACAGCCAAGCCAGCACCTTCAAAAGCCCTGTTAGGTCTTCTACTATTCCACAGGATTTAAGATTTATTTCTTGTTAAATCCTGTTTAGGTCCTAAATAGCCTTAACACATCCAACGGAATTGCAAGGAGCATATCACAAAGCAGCTGAGCTTTATGTTCACACTCAGGGAAGCGACAAGGACCAGTGTTCAAACTGGTATTTCCAGGAGAAAATAAAACGCTCTGAGTAATGAGGCTCTACTCACTCCCTTCAACTGCTTCAGCTGGTTTTGCCTTTGTAAAGAAATTTCTCTTCCTTAATCAGAAATTATTTATTATCCTCACACAGAAAAAATCCCTGGAGGACACCCTAGCAGAAACAGAAGGTGGTTACTGTGCTCAGCTGTCACAGATCCAGCTGCAGATCGGGAACTTGGAGTCGCAGCTGTTCCAGGTCAGGGCTGACATGGAGCGCCAGAACGCAGAATATCAGCAGCTTCTGGACATCAAGAGTCGCCTGGAAATGGAGATTGAGACCTACAGGCGTCTGCTGGATGGAGAGTTCATGTAAGGAACTGACACAAAGTCTCTCCTTGGGTTTATTTGCTGTAGCAAAATCCTTTCCAGGAAAAAAAAAAAAAGAGAGGTAAAACCAAGCAGAACATTCTCCAGAGGAGAAAAAGGCACATAGACTTGAAATAACACAGATGCACTGACTGAGGAGAATGACCCACTCTGCTCAGTGTTTAGATAATCTATCAGTGGCACCAGGAAAAGGGAGATTGTCCCAATCCCATCGAAATTCCTGCAATCACATATGTCTCTGGTTCGCTTTCAGGGGTGCAGGACAGGCAGTCACATTTGAAAGCTCATCCCTGACAGGGTCCAAATCTCAAACACAGTCACTGGATTCTTCTCAGGGTAAGTAGAACTTGATTGAATAGGATTTTGTTCCCAAAGTCCTTCTTATAAATTGGACAACACATGTTATTCTGTTTAACTACACCCTGGAGGTCATTATGTCCTCCTGTGAGGACAGGCTGAGGGAGTTGGGGCTGTTCAGCCTGGAGAAGAGAAGGTTGTGTGGAGACCTCAGAGCAACTTTCCAATATCTGAAGGGCCTACAAGGAGCTGGAGAGGGACTCTGTGTTAGGAACTGCAGTGATAGGACAGGGGATAATGGGTTCAAATTGATGGAGGGGAAGCTTAGGTTAGATATGAGACAAAAGTTTGTTACTCTTAAGGGTGGTGAGACACTGGCACAGGTTGCCCAGGGACGTGGTGGCTGCCCTGACCCTGGTGGTGTTCAATCCAGGCTGGATGAGCCTTGAGCAACCTGATCTAGTGAGGAGATGTCCCTGCCCAGGGCAGGGGTTGGGGCTGGATGATCTGTAAGGTCCATTCCAACCCCTGAATTCTATGATTCTATGATTCTATGATAACCAGAGCCACAGACACAGGAAAAGGAGGTAACTGGTCACACCTTGTTTGTGTTTATCATCTTTAACATACAGAGGTTTTTGTTTGTTTATGATCTTTAGATCCAACCAAAACTAGGAAGATCAAGACAATTGTGGAAGAAGTGGTAGATGGAAAAGTCATTGCATCCCACGTTAAGGAAGTTGAAGAGAAGATATGAGGCAAAGGATCTGATGGCTCCAGGCCAAAGTGGATAAATAACTTTATTCTTTTGTATGAAGGGATAAAAAGTTTGGCTTTGTCCTAAGATTCTGTTACGTAAGACAGAGCCTGCACTGTCATTCCTAGCAGCTGTGCAATGTTTCCTGCCTCACTCTATCAGCATTACCTGTGTGATTTTCAGGGTGTTCCTTAAACATCTCATCAATTCTCTGCTCAACAGTGTGAAATACCAAGCACACCTTCAATCAGATCTGCTTTTTTATAATCTTTAGCAATTAACAGATCAAAAAATTTTGCTGTTCTAACCTCATTTTCCAGTTTTCTTGACTAATAAAAAGGACTCAACAAGCTTTAAGGTATTAGTGTCCCTTCATTCTCTAAGAGGGAAGAAACAGTTGTTTACACCTCCTTACCTTCAGCCTTCAGGGAGCTCAGAGCCAGGTGTTCCCTTTACACCTGGGGAGAAAAAAAAGGTGGAAAAATAAAGCATTAGTTTATAGTGTCCCAAAGTACATAATCTTGTGTTTGTCTGATGGATTCCTAATGGATTCCTTATGCAACTGTTCTCATCCCCTCAATGCCAAACATTGCCAACACTTGGGGTTTAGAACTACATAGAACTGGGACAATTAAGACACTTGTAGAAAAGAGTGTGCACAACAAAACCTTCCCATCTCAGCCCAGGTCAGCTGGAAGGCAGTCAGCTAAGGAAAATAAAATCCCAACACAGGATCCTTTCACATGTGCCAGCGGAGAGAGCCAAGGCCTGGGAAGCCTCATGCACACCAGGAGACCTTGGAGTGGTACAATACTTTGACTTCTAAAAAGATGAGTGTCTTGTCCAAGTTTGCTGCCTGTTTTATCACTTCACTGATGTGTGTTCTTACTTAGAGCCTAAAATTCATTCCCACTTGGAAATTCTTATTTTTTTTACTGAAATCTGAATTGTTTTGCTGCATATTGTGCCCTGCCAAAACAACTGAAATGGGTAAGAGGTAAAACTGAAATAAGGAAGAGCCATTCACAGCAGACAAGACCTTTGGGATGACCCAGTGCTCCGGTGAGGCAGGAGATGAAGAATCACAGCAGACAACCTGTGCTGTACCTGCTGGGAGCTGTCAGGAGAGGTGCAAGGACCTCACACACTCTGTGTTCTGTTCAATACCTGGCAAAGGTACTGAAACACCTCCAGGGACAACCCAGACCCTTTTTCTGACAGCAGTGAGGTGTCTGAGGTGTTCCTTCCCCAGCACTTTCCCTCTGCAGCAGAGGAGCCAAAGCCACAAGGTGCTCCAGTGCTGTTCACACCAGCAGTGCTGGTTCCTCTCCCTCCCCGTGTGCTCTGCCCATGGACCAGGGCAGTGATGGGTGGGAGGATGCCTAGGAACACATCTCTTTCCCAAACAGGACAGTCCTCAGGTCAGGACAGACACCTGAGGCTTCACCTTCTTGAGTCTCAGATACTTTCAGGGAAGTTCTGTGACATCCCCACTGGTGCCTAGGAACACATCTCTTTCCCCAAACAGGACAGTCCTCAGGTCAGGACAGACACCTGAGGCTTCACCTTCTTGAGTCTCAGATACTTTCAGGGAAGTTCTGTGACATCCCCACACTGGTCCAGTTTGGCCGCAGGGAGGCTGTGCCCCTCCTGCCCCTCTGCCCGAGCTGTTCGTGCTGACCAGCTGCAATTTATCTCTCCCCCTGACATTTCCGAGCTGAGAATCCCCCGCGTTACAGTGTCTCCAAGCCACGGGGACAGCGATACACTGTTTCCAGCACAGGCACCGCTGTTTCGTGCCGTGCTTGGAGGGGTTGGCAGCTCTGCCCCTCGGGGCGCCCCGAAATGAGGCTCTGCCGCTTTAACGGCCCCGATGAGCCGGGCCGGGAGCCGCGGAGGATGGGAGGAGGAGGAGGAGGATGGAGCCGACCCGGCTCCGCAGACACACCAGGGCAAAGCATGACCCGCTCGGCAGCCGAAACCAGCCCAAGACCCTCAGCTCAGCGAGGACGCAGGTAATGTCTCCACACAGCCACACACCTCGCAGAGCCCGCGGCCGTGCCCCGGCCGCACGGTCCCTCCCGCAGCCTCTGAGAGGTACAGTAATTCCTTCCGATGCAGCAGATTCCAAGGGGAAGGGATTTGGATTTTACTGCAGTAAGGTGGGAACGCGAAGAATCGCAGCTAGGTGTTGTTTAGGGTATGGATTGCCACGGAAGGAATGCTGTGTAATTCCTAGGGATGCTTTCCTGCCCCTGCAGCAGGGCTTATTGCTGGGATCTGAGGGATGATGACACAGGCTGCAACACTCTAGCTCCAGGGAGTTATCCCGCAGGAAAAAAAGGATCCTTTTGTATACAGCAAGCTTTGCCATTTTCTGCACCTCTGGTAAAGCAAACTGTGCCTTTGCAGGAACTATTTTCAGCGGCTCACAGTTCTGCTCCTCAGCAAATATCTCTCTCATAGAGCTTGATTGGACATCACCAACACACAGAGCTGCTGTGAGGGATTTCCATACCAAACAGCTCCAAACCCAACTGAAATCAAACGGCAAAACTATTCCTGGCCATCAAATGTAAAGAGATTCAGGGGAGGATCAGGTATTCTGTCACCTTGCACTCAGGTATTGCAGGAATCCTGGAGGCTGTTTTTAAGGCCAGGCCAGGCACTGCTGCAGCCTGGCTGATCCGACAGTGCAGCCAAGTTTAGCCTGGTGCTGGCACAAAGCAGCAGTGCACATTGGTATGATCCTGACACACAAATCCTGCAGCACCCAGGCAAGGAAGGGGAAGCAGAGAACATTGGGGGTTCACTTGTGGATGAGCCAAATCTAGATCTCTCCCCAAAAATGATGGCCTGGTAAAACTGCAATGGGTTGGTGTGGATGGGGGAGCAAAAAAACTGGTTTTCCTTGGTTCATAAGGCCTGAATTAAAGAGTTTCTTTTCTTAGAGTTGATGTCATCACAAGAAACTGCATAAAGCAGTAGAATATGCAAAAGAGCAGGTGCTGTTTCAAGGGTTTATGTGGCATCTTCACCACTTGCAGGGAAACTCAGAATCAAAAAGGAAAAAGAATTTCCATAAGCCAAAGTCATTCTGGAAGTTACATGCAGGAACATATTGAAACCAAAGCTGAGTGCAAGTCTAAATGACCTCACACATGCTCAGGATTGGCTTAAAAACCCACTTTACATAGAAAGAAAGGGGTAAAACAAAAAACCACCCAGAAATCAAAATTCCATTAAACCCAAACCTGGAAGCTTGAAGCACCTGCAGTTCCTCTCAGCCTGTTTGCTCCAGAGGTGAGTGAGGTCTCAGTACCACAGGGTGATTTCTCTGGGAATTCCTCCAGGACAAAGATGCCAGGGATAGAGATGTGGTTAACCACTTCCCATCACACACAGTGAGATAAGGACTTTCCCTCTACACAGCATAGGAAATGTAACTCCTCACACATTTACATGACTCTCACAAAAACTCCAACTAGATATTTTCATGTGTTGACTTCTTTTCATTATCTGAATGTTTCTAATATTGCTCTCTTTTGCCTGGCCCCTGAAGGCAGAAGGAGGTACAAGTAAGAGAATGGACAAGGATGCCGAAGCACTGAAAGCAGCCAGAGCAGAGCTGTGTGAAGCCAGGAGGCAGTGGCACCACATGCAGATAGAAATCGAGTCTCTCCACGCTGTGGTAAGTGTCACAAATGATACCTGAAATCTCCTGGAAAACAGAAATGTTGTCTTTAATGTGAACTATCCCACAGTCAGCTCTGTGACAGTCACAGCCACCACCCAGCACACAGGAATGCAGAGCTCTGGGAGGGCTCCAGCTCCTCACAGAGCCCTCACCCACACACACCAACCTACCATGTGTCCTGTGCAGGATCTGCCTCTCGACACACACGTGTTGTCCTGTGTTCACACCTGCCAAACATGTATTTGCATGATGCTCCCTCACCAATGTCCTGGTCATTCTGCCTAACCAATTCCCAGCAGGTTTATGATTTTTATTGCATTTGTGGACCAAAGTTATCAGTTCATTCATGGTAAAATGAGAGCAGCTTGCTGAATTCAGCGCTCCAGAGGAGCCCCAGCAGCACATGGACAGTGTTCACACAGCACTGAACTGGACAGCATTTAATTGAGCAGGTAAATCAGAGATCTGTAAGCTCGGTGGCAGTGGGTTGCTGGGCAAGGGGTGGCTACAATTCCATCCAATCTTAAATGACCACAGATTTTATGGGAAAATTCCTCAGCCAAAGTATCACCTTGGAAGCTTTACTGCTGTTCTTAGGGAATAATCTTACAAGAACTGATGTAAAAATACAGATTTTGCTAATGAAACCATGTATATGTATCAGATCTTTAGGCACACACTTTCCAAGTCCTAAAACACGAGTTAAACTTCACAGGAAAAGGGGTTGGAACGTTCCCTGCGTGCCACAGAGCAGCAGTACCACATGCAGCTACAAAACCTGGAAGGTGAGATTGAATGCTTGGAGAAAGAGCTGCTGGATGTGAGAAGGGGAATTGAGAAACAGCTCCGAGAGCACGAAATTCTCCTGAACACCAGGATGAAGCTGGAGGAGGAGATAGCGACGTACCGCAGCCTGCTGGAGCAAGAGGAGAGCAGGTACTCAAAGCTCTCAATTCACCTCCCGTTTCTGAACATCTCATCTAAACCTAAATCTAAATCAGAATTGTAAATATATTCACCAACCACTCAAAAACGACAGTATCAACTCCTTAGAATTGGTTTCACTGTCACACAGCTCCCTGAGTGCAGTTTGTGGTGCTCAGTGTCTCCCACACGTTGCAGAGGCATCATAATCACTGCACCCTCACTGCAGGTGCTATGGCCCTGGGCCTGTTGGTGGCCTGGCACAGAGCCTGTCTGTCTCACAGCACACACAGCATGTCCGCACGACAAAGTGCTAGGCAGGGAGTCCATGTCTCATTGAATCGTAGAATCATAGAATCATGCAGTTTGTGGTGCTCAGTGTCTCCCACACGTTGCAGAGGCATCATAATCACTGCACCCTCACTGCAGGTGCTATGGCCCTGGGCCTGTTGGTGGCCTGGCACAGAGCCTGTCTGTCTCACAGCACACACAGCATGTCCGCACGACAAAGTGCTAGGCAGGGAGTCCATGTCTCATTGAATCGTAGAATCATAGAATCAATTGGGTTGCTCACGACAAAGTGCTGGGCAGGGAGTCCATGTATCATTGAATCGTAGAATCATAGAATCAATTGGGTAAAAGACCTCCAAGATCATCAAGTCCTACTGTGGTCACTAGACCATGGCACTAAGTGCCACATCCAGTCTCAGCTTGAAAACCTCCAGGGATGGGGAATCCACTCCACCCCTGGGCAGCACATTCCAATGCCTGAGCACTCTCTCCAGAAAAAATCTCTTCCTAAGATCCAACCTAACCCTCCCCTGGCAGAGCTTGAGTCTGTGCCCTCTTGTCCTGCTGCTGGTTGCCTGGGAGAAGAGACCAACCC